GGCCATACAGAGCCAGAAATAGGCTGGAAAGTCTGTCCTATTGGCCATACAGAGCCAGAAATAGGCTGGAAAGTCTGTCCTATTGGCCATACAGAGCCAGAAATAGGCTGGAAAGTCTGTCCTATTGGCCATACAGAGCCAGAAATAGGCTGGAAAGTCTGTCCTATTGGCCATACAGAGCCAGAAATAGGCTGGAAAGTCTGTCCTATTGGCCATACAGAGCCAGAAATAGGCTGGAAAGTCTGTCCTATTGGCCATACAGAGCCAGAAATAGGCTGGAAAGTCTGTCCTATTGGCCATACAGAGCCAGAAATAGGCTGGAAAGTCTGTCCTATTGGCCATACAGAGCCAGAAATAGGCTGGAAAGTCTGTCCTATTGGCCATACAGAGCCAGAAATAGGCTGGAAAGTCTGTCCTATTGGCCATACAGAGCCAGAAATAGGCTGGAAAGTCTGTCCTATTGGCCATACAGAGCCAGAAATAGGCTGGAAAGTCTGTCCTATTGGCCATACAGAGCCAGAAATAGGCTGGAAAGTCTGTCCTATTGGCCATACAGAGCCAGAAATAGGCTGGAAAGTCTGTCCTATTGGCCATACAGAGCCAGAAATAGGCTGGAAAGTCTGTCCTATTGGCCATACAGAGCCAGAAATAGGCTGGAAAGTCTGTCCTATTGGCCATACAGAGCCAGAAATAGGCTGGAAAGTCTGTCCTATTGGCCATACAGAGCCAGAAATAGGCTGGAAAGTCTGTCCTATTGGCCATACAGAGCCAGAATTAGGCTGGAAAGTCTGTCCTATTGGCCATACAGAGCCAGAAATAGGCTGGAAAGTCTGTCCTATAGGCCATACAGAGCCAGAAATAGGCTGGAAAGCCTGTTGCTTCCGATCTCTAGCTTAAATTATATCTAACGCTATTAAAGAAAAGGATACCTAGTAATAGACCAGCAGAGTCCAGACTTAAAGAATATAAGTGCCGTGAAGGTTAAGACCACACAGTAGAAAAAGAATATCCTTATATGCTGTCTTCTCTACCTATACTTAAAACTCAATAATAAAGAACCAATTACTTCCATTATTGAAAAACAATATAATATTTATCTTGATTAAAATCTCCTAACATGTCAAAGACAACATATATGATCATCAAAACGCAGTCACAACAGCACAAAAATATGTGACACCAGTTCAGTATTTTGTGTATGACATTAGTAGAGAGGGGGGCCTCGTGATCTTTGTGAGCCTTGGGCGTGAGGAATGTGCAGCACATATCTGTGGCTGTGGGGTTACGGTGGATAACCACGTGTGACAGGGACCTCAACAGGGGTATAATGTCACCAGATGTACCAGGGGGCGCCACCCAATCCATTGTAGACACACAATAACCTCGTTCAGTTGGTTACAGCCGATCAAACTTGACCGCACATATGGACAGAGATTCCACAGGAGGAAGACATTTCTGATGTTCTGTGTTAAAAGTTTGTTTTAATTATACTTACTGTACATATTGTGGTTAATGTCATTGATACTACGGTAAATATTACTGGAGTTTGATGGGCAATTAATTAATACAAAATTTCAATTTTATTTTACAGAGTTGTGTTTCCTTTTTTCTTCTTTTCTTTAATATGTCTTTTTGAAAAATTTAAAAAATTGATCAAAATATTAAATTATATTATAATCAATTAATTCCTAATTATTTGTTAAAGTTATTATTAGTTATGACAAAGTTCTATTCCTGGTCCCTATGGTTTATATCGGGGTCTGAATTACGTTCCAGTAAACAGAGCTAGCTATAAGGAATACTGTACACAGTTTAATTACTGCTAAGTTAAAGCAGGTTAATCTACCATGGACAGGAATGGTTGGGTGGTATTGTCGTCTACTGTCATCTATGACACGTCGACGAGAATCATCGACGAGGATCTTTACAGAGTTGTCAAGATCCTCGCCGGGTATTATTGTCATTGTCAGGACTTAGACAACTAACACGAAGCGTGAATAGACCACAGATGGTACAGGACGCCAGGATGTATAGGATGTCACAATATAACCTTGATAAAACGCTCATCTGCCTAATAAAGTGTACTAATGAGTAATCAGGTTAAGATGTTAGAGGTTGATTCGGTTGTGCAGTTAGTTGGGATATATGATACGGTATGTGTTAGGTATCTTTTTACGATAAGTTGGTATATTGGATACCATATATGTTTGTATAAAGGCCATAGATCAAACTAGCCACAGTATGGGTATTAAAGGGTATAAGGAATCAGACTGGGTCTTGAAAACAACATGGTTTAGCAGCTAAAACTTTCATCTGTAACAGGGAGCTATAGTGAATGGAAAAGTGTAGAAACGTTTATAAGGATATTATTCACCAATTTTCCGCTCAATCATCTCCAAAATCTATCTGTATAAGCTAGAGAAAGAGCTTGAAAAATGCAATGCTAGATCAAGAGGTTCAAACATACATTCACTGCGAGGCCAAGAGGCTCAAACATACATTCACTGCGAAGCCAAGAGGCTCAAACATACATTCACTGCGAGGCCAAGAGGCTCAAACATACATTCACTGCGAGACGAAGAGGTTGGAACATACATTACTTGATTAAGAGGTTTAAACACACATACCTACACTGCTAGACTAATAGGTTCACACATTACTGTTTGACCAAGATGTAAACACATTATGCTAGACAAAAGGGTTCAAATATACATTGGGGTCATTGCTAGACCAAGAGGTTCAATCATTACTGTTAGACTGAAAAGTGTTCGCTTATAGACCAAGAAATTTGCAAAATGTCATTAGTCTTAAGGTTCACAAGTACACAAAACTAGAGGCCAACATGTTCATACAGGTTTACACTGCTTAACTATCTGCCAGAGACTAAGAACTAATGGTATGTATATTGGCTAGACCTTGAATTTCATTGGGAAAAAACTAGAATGTTTAACAGTCCACCAACACACAAAGGAGGCCACCTGGGCCAAAAACAGTTACTAAAACAATTAACATCAGTTAACATAAAAAAAAAAAAAACACAAAAATGCAAATGAAAAATATATATACACTCATACAATTATAATCCAAGCATAAACATTTCACGAAATATTAGGTTGTATGTTCAAAAAAAAAAAGAAGACTGAGGCTTGGATAGAGCTTTGACCTTTAAAACTCAAAACGGCATTCAAAGATGCATTATTGGACCTGAAGTAGTATTTTGGGTCAGCCTGACAAAACAATGACCGCCAGGTGACATTGAACAGATAATGGCATTTATATGCCAGCCTTGTAATAATATTATTATTTACTATAATACAGTGAGTGTGTTGACCTACTTCTGTCAATACAGTTAAATCCTTACTCCAGGATCCCTGTACAAACATCTGTTACGCCATATTGATTCTGATCAAATCTGACTCTAAAGAGTTTTATCAGTCATTAAACAATCAATATGTTCTACATTCAGCACAAATGTTTGAAATACCCAGCCTCTCTTGGGTGCTGTTATAAACCTGTGTATCAACAGTCATAGGTCACGGCCAGGGGTAATCACGTTCCTTCGGTTGATGTTGTTCACTTCTATATGTTATGGTGGTCTGTTTGGGAACACTTGAAGGTGAAGATGTATCAGAATAGCTCAAAAGGCAGGAATTATACTTTAGGACTTTAAGGGCACAACAGCGATCTTCAGCAATAATGCTCAAGAATCTTTGGTTTGTTTGTGTCTAGTGGTGTTACCTGTCTGTTACAACTTACCATTGATAGAGTGAACCCCGGTCATGTGTCTAGTGGTGTTACCTAGTCATGTGTCTAGTTGTGTTACCTGTCTGTTACAACTTACCATTGATAGAGTGAACCCCAGTCATGTGTCTAGTGGTGTTACCTGTCTGTAACAACTTCCCATTGATAGAGTGAACCCCAGTCATGTGTCTAGTGGTGTTACCCAGTCATGTGTCTAGTGGTGTTACCTGTCTGTTACAACTTCCCATTGATAGAGTGAACCCCAGTCATGTGTCTAGTGGTGTTACCTGTCTGTAACAACTTCCCATTGATAGAGTGAACCCTGGTCATGTGTCTAGTGGTGTAACTTTAGACTGCTTTCCATTGATAGATCAGTAAATGATTTTATTCTGCACCAAACAGATCTTGAGTTACCTTAGCTGTGTAAAATATCAGGAAGTATGTAGTTGATTGTATCAGGTTAATACTGCTGTGACCTTTTGACTACAGATTTTAGGCAAAGTCAATGTTATAATACCAGGAAAAATAAACAAAGTGTTTTCTGTACTGAAATTAGTTAAAGACGGTTTGAAATTCAAAACCACAGGTAGCATTTCTCAATAGTACCTCATAATAAGTTAAAATTGTATAATTACTTTGATACACATTTTCAATGATAAAATATTGTAAATAATCAAATTATTTCCTCAAAATTGAAATTAACCATATTTTAATCCTACAGGCCATTTCACCTGTGGATTAAGATACAATACATGTTATTTCTCAGTTAGAGACTACCTTTGTTTGAAGGTGAACCACCAGCTCATCCCAAAGGGAGACTACCTTTGTTTGAAGGTGAACCACCAGCTCATCCCAAAGGGAGACTACCTTTGTTTGAAGGTGAACCACCAGCTCATCCTAAAGGGAGACTACCTTTGTTTGAAGGTGAACCACCAGCTCATCCTAAAGGGAGACTACCTTTGTTTGAAGGTGAACCACCAGCTCATCCTAAAGGGAGACTACCTTTGTTTGAAGGTGAACCACCAGCTCATCCTAAAGGGAGACTACCTTTGTTTGAAGGTGAACCACCAGCTCATCCTAAAGGGAGACTACCTTTGTTTGAAGGTGAACCACCAGCTCATCCTAAAGGGAGACTGAGTACACTGATGTGATAGAGAAAGTAAAGACCATTATCTAGATCTAGTATCCCCATCCAATCACACGCCTGGCTATAACCAAACATTTTATGCTACTTGATACCCTCCGGTTAATTAACTTACCTTTATCAGAAAATACAGGCACACCAATTTAATTCAAGGTCAAAGATATCCACAAATATATCGATTGTCCTTTTAAACTGTCGTAGTAAAATGGTTCACTACAATGTCAATAAGAGGTGTCCTTAATACAACACACAAAGGTATGACACACAGGTACGCTGGCTCGTTCACTTCGACAGCCTAGCTCAGCATCCCGTGGTACAGGTGACGTGCTTTTATAGATCCGTGTGATTTCCCAGGACAACTGGTCACCTGCGAAAACAGAATTGAGTCGAGCATTGACAGGCGGTTACAGAGCTTGGTGTAACACACAATGTGCCTCTATCAAACGTTCCCACAGATTGGGAGGAACGGTTCTCCTCCTTAAACTGGTTCCATGCTTTAGTATCGGGTAACATGTATAAAATCTTGATAGCATATATATGGACAGCTTAATTCTCAATGTTTCATTAAATATTGTAAAACATTACCAAACTAAGATTAAAATTTACTCAAATTTTATCCATTTTTTTAATTAAAAATGTACTCCTGGAAAGGAAGTTACTCCTGGAAAGGAAGTTATCTTGATAAAAATAAATTTAAATAAGTAATTTATGTATAATTTTATCAAAGTTAAAATTTCACACATTTTCAATTTCTTGGTGTAAAGCTTGCGATGCTTTGAGATAGCCCAGCCTGTACAGTTGTCAGCTGCATTACCACACCTTACCTGACAGCAGCCGTTGATGGATAATGTTTCATAATCCGCAGGCAATTTAATATTTTTAATAAGTTTTAATTTTCGAAAAAAAATATTGTTAGAGTAATCAATATGTTGAGAAACAGGCCTGGTAGTTGTAGTGATGAAGGGAGTCGTTGTGTCTGTAACGGATTCTGGGGTGACACAGGGTTACTTTAGACATAAAAAGGCTGTTTACCAGGTATTACTTTTGACACCTTGATTTTATTATTTTAATTCAAATTTCTGCCCTGAGTTTTGACACTTGTGATGGACAGTTGGCACACTATGATACATGCACCTGTTCCCATCATCTCCATGTTAGTGACGATACATGATCAATATATACCTGGGTTGTATTACAGTTGGCTGGCGTTTTCTACACCTGTAATATAGCGTCGGGAAACAAGTTTCTGAACATTTCTAAAGCATATATGTGCATGCTTTATTTAGGGTTTTGTTATACATCAGTATTGTCTACTTTTCTCTTCATAAAGTCCGTCAATATAACACACATAATTAATTAACTTCAATGTTTAGTTGTGGTAAATCACACTAATTAACACTGGAACTGTAAATTAACATTTATGGATTGCCGTAATTGCTGTAGAACTATAAAATATATCAATCGGAATAGATTTTGCTCATGGATATTCGTACTCATGAGAGAAATATGGCAATTTGGCCAGCTAAGAGCCATCGCTCTGACAGGAATGTGTGGCTACGTTGACAAGTTTAAGATTGCGGAGATGCCACGCCGTTGGAGATGGGAGGCCATTCTGCATGGGTGCGGGAGTGTTAGTCCCCTCTGATTTAACACCCAACACACCATCACGGAATAGGGGCAACCGGTGTAATTAAATCAAGCAAGACAAATGAGTCAATATTTTGCTACCTTTTTGTATTACAGTTATGGCGACTTAATTGGGGAAATGGCCAGCGTTGAACAGTTGTCATTACAGCGATCAATGTATGGCTTAGCCCCACAGGCAAAATCAGGAGAGCAACGAAAAATCTGTATTGATTTTAGCCATTTCCTCACGTGTGTTGGGACAATTTTTGAAATATCTTTAAAACTATTTTTCATGGCACACCAAGTGACACTCAATTTTTTTGTCATGTTCATCAACAAACATCAATGACACGGGTTCGTCCATTACCGACGTGAGTGCCGGGTGTACAGATTTTACCGATAAGGATCTATGTTCCATATAACAAAGGTGCTATGGCTGTCGCTCAAGTTTTATACATTGTCACTTTGGTAATGAACAACACCCATGAAGCCCGTGTTTGTACACTTTTTTACAACTTCACTGAAACCTGTACACGCGACAAACAGCTTGGGGAGCACACCCATCCTTTACACTTTGATACCAGGATTTTTTATTTTTTAACCTCTAAAGCAGTTTTCTATTTAGTTGACTTAATTTGACATTATATGCATGTAGCTATCTCTTGGTATATCTTTATTGGTATAGCCATCTCTCTATAAATAATGGCTGCTGTGTCTCCCTGCTCAATTTGCAAATGGAGACATGCAACTACACAACTTTGGTAGAAAGACTTGCCTAAAGACACATGGGAAGGGGGTTGTGTTATCAAATCTGGATTAAAATCTTTAAAACTTTGATTGATTTTGTAATAATTGGGCACATCACAAAGATCAGTCTATGATAAACCTTTATGAAATATATGTGCTCAGATTTTATAATAGCAGACTGAAGCAAAAGATATTTCTTAAAGGTATGTTACAGTTTCTGTTTTATCATCTGAATTAGGATAAAGATGATAACTTTGAAACGTTTTGTCTGTAAGATAATTTGCGTTATCAGAATAACTGTCTCTTTACTCAAAGATATGAGTTTGGCCAGATAGATAAATAAAAAATGAGTTTGTCTCTCAGTTAATCTACTTTCCCTTCACCCTTGTATCTGATAAAAATGATATCTCAAAGAAGGACTTTGTATATATACCAGAGGCACCAGAAGTAACATTGTCTTCAGATAAGATAATTTTACAAAATTGATATGTCTACATTTCAAAATAAAAACTTCCTGTTTTGATATGATTTTGGTATTGACTTTCACAGCTGTGTGTCATGTAGTACAGAGCTAATATTAAGCTCCTACCCTTATAGGTATACATCAGCTGTGTGTCATGTAGTACAGAGCTTATATTAGGCTCCTACCCTTATAGGTATACATCAGGCTATTCAAGGCAGTTTGTTAATAAGCCAAGAAAACCAATTCTGTCAAGGTCTTTAGTGTATTAAAGTAAAGGGAGGATGCTTTAAAAAAATCACAATAACTCTTAAGGATCCCAGTCTGCAGGCAAAACACTAATCCCACCCCAAGTTGTTCATACAAACAGTTACCTCCCCTCAATTCATTCACCCCGACATATTTAACTAGACTTTCCCAGTCTTTGATTTGGTAAGGTTCAAATGTGAGTTTAGGGGTGAATGGGTTAATGTTTTTATACAAATAAACTGCTGATTTGGTACCTCAGTCTGGCTTCGTTGTGGTTAGAGTAACTGTATTGTGATCGAAGGTCCAGGGTTCAAACCTCAGTCTGGCTTCGTTGATTTTTAGTACGTCCGGCATCCGGCGTCTGGCCGGCAACTTTTTCTTTTAAACGACTTCTTTTGAAGAACTGGAGGACCTAGGGTCATGATATTTGGCCAGTAGGTACCTGGGATGGAGTGCTTTAAAGTTTCCTCATTAAAATGACCTTGACCTGCTTTTAAGGTCACAGGGGTCAAATATGTTCAAAATTCAAACAACAATATCTTAAGAACCTTTTGGACTAGAGTCATGATACTTAGTAATGCTATGTAGACCAGCAGTGCAAATCTTTTTCTTATTTACAGTATTGAGGTCAAAGGTCAACTTTAAGTGATAGTAGGGGGTCAAACGTTAACATGGGTTAAAAGCTTAAACAATCTTCTTCTCAAGTTCCATTAGGCCCAGGGACATAATATTTGGCCAGTAGGTACCTTGGATGGAGTACTATCTCAAGGTCACAGGAGTCAAATATGTTCAAAACTTCAAACAACAAAATCAAAAGAACCTTGTGGACTAGAGTCATGATACCTGGGTATGTTTTGTAGACCAGCAGTGCGAATCTTTTTCTTCATTACAGTAATGAGGTCAAAGGTCAACTTTAAGTGATAGTAGGGGGTCAAACGTTAACATGGGTTAAAAGCTTTAACAATCTTCTGCTCAAGTTCCATAAGGTCCATGGTCATGATATATGGCCAGTAGGTACCTGGGATGGAGTGCTGTAAAGTTTCCTCATTAAAATGACTTTGACTATCTTTCTAGGTCACAGGGGTCAAATATGTTCAAAACTTCAAACAACAATATCTTAAGAACCTTGTGGACTAGAGTCATGATACCTGGGTATATTATGAAGCCTAGCAGTGCGAATCTTTTTCTTAATTACAGTAATGAGGTCAAAGGTCAACTTTAAGTGATAGTAGGGGGTCAAACGTTAACATGGGTTTAAAGCTTAAACAATCTTCTTCTCACGTTCCATAAGGTCCAGGGACATAATATTTGGCCAGTAGGTACCTGGGATGGAGTGCTATAAAGTTTCCTCATTAAAATGACTTTGACTTTCTTTCTAGGTCACAGGGGTCAAATATAGGTCACAGGGGTCAAATATGTTAAAAACTTCAAACAACAATATCCTAAGAACCATTTGGACTAGAGTCATGATACCTTGGTATTTTATGTAGAACAGCAGTGCAAATCTTTTTCTTAATTACAGTAATGAGGTCAAAGGTCAGCTTTAAGTGCTAGTCAGGGTTTAAATGTCAACATGGGTTAAAAGCTTTAACAATCTTCCTCTCAAGTTCCATATGGCCCAGGGTCATGATATTCGTCCAGTAGGTACCAGGAATAGAGTGCTATAACGTTTCCTCTTTATAATGAACTTGATCTACTTTCAAGGTCTCAGGAGTCAAAAATGTTAGAAAATTCAAACGACAATATCCTAAGAACGANCAGGGGTCAAATATGTTCAAAACTTCAAACAACAATATCCTAAGAATCATTTGGTCTAGAGTCATGATACCTGGGTATGTTATGTAGACCAGCAGTGTGAATCTTTTTCTTTATTACAGTAACTAATGAGGTCAAATGTCAACTTTAAATGTTAGCTGGAGTCAAAGGTCAACGTGGGTTAAAAGCTTTAAAATTACAATTTCACACTCAAATTTCAAACAACAATATCTTAAGAAGCGTTTTAGAGATGTTAAAATGTCTTGCGTTCTAGTTACCAAATTTGGTCTGAAGTTAACTATATGTCAGTTTCATGTAACAAAAGAAACAGGTGAGCGATACAGGCCCTTTTGGCCTCTTGTTAACCTCAGAACAGACTATCGTTCATATTTTAATATTTATAATCTTTGAATGTTATCATGAAATATTCATGTGGGTTTCTATTTAGGTATTGTCATGTGGGTAAAATGTTACAAATTCCTAGTTATAGTTTTTGTCAGTGTTGCAAGGTCCATAACAAATCTCTATGA